AAAGAGAGAGGCAGACAAAATGTATTTGCTTGCGAGAGAAAAAAAGAAAGAATAAGAGAGAGTGAGAGAGAGAATATTCAATCAACGTTGATTGATATGCCAGAAAGAAGGAGAGAACGATGGGGGGAGGGGGAGAGGGAAGTGAAAGGGGTAAATCTTTTCGTGTTCGTCTAATACTAGGATCTATCTACGAATAATCAATGAATCCAATTTTTATTAGATACATCGTAGTTTTATCGTAAGCCCATTTTTTACGAACGATTATAATCTTTTCTAATTAAGCGACAATGAAAATGTCCTTGTTTTCCGAGGATTGTTCTTACGATAATGATCATTTTATTTTGTTCTTTTTTTTTTTGTTTTTTTTTCAAATGAATTTACATACGAAAAGTACGATATTTAACCCTAGAACTACAAACTGGGGGAGTATATATTTACCCCTAGGGTTTTTGTAGTTCTTAAAAAAATTGTTCTGATAGCAATAATCAAACTTTTAAGTATACGAATTTTTCTATTTTTTTGATGGTAAAGAGAATGGTGAAGAACAAATTCAATTTACGGAAATGAAAGTACGGAAAAACGATCAAATCTTCATTTAACGTCTACAGATAGATAAGGGTAGATATCTACCCCAGTTGGTAGTTCTAGGATTAAAATACTTGATTATTGATATCTCTTTTTCTTGTTCGTATTTTAATCTCACGTTTCTTTCTCTCCTCTTTGGGTTTTCCCTTCCTTTGCATATTTTTTTTCTTTTATAATAACCGGTATATAATATCTTCCCATAATATATATCGGGTATTCGCGATGAGGAGTACATTTGATTTAATCGAATTTATACAAGGCATATTATATTTCGTTTTTTTTTTCTCTCTCTCTCTTTTTATTTTTGTAATATAATGAATTTAATCGAGCTTACTTTAACACATCAATTCGAAATAGAATCATTTTCTTTTTTCATCATTTCACAACGCGAACGAAAATCATATATTTTGAAGTGCATCTAGTTGAACTGCACACGTAGTTAATAGTTAACAGTAGTAGTAGAAAAATGAGAAAGAAAGTGAACTAATCGATAGCTACCCCTAACCGGTAGCTAGCTACCCTTTCCTTTTCTTTTTTTCTTTTTCTCTTTCTTTCTTTTTCTCTATGTTTTCTTTTGAAGATATTGCAAGGTATTACGACGTTCGTAGTAGTTCTCGTCGTCCTCATTTTTCAAAACGATTCCTCGTAAAAGCGAGATGAAAATGACAGAAATGACGGAGTACTTCGTCGGTTGTGTGTTAGTTTCTTACCCTTAAGATTTATAACCGTGCCACAAGCTAAACGACGAGCAAGATGGAACACACCCCCTCGTTCGACCTTAAAAAACAAAGTCCGTTAAATGCAAAACGTTCGGTCTCTTTACCTCGAAAATATATAAGAGAGAAAAAAATAAAGAAAGAAAAAGAGAAAGAGTAAGGAAGGAAAAAAGAAAAGAAGATATTTGACACGTGTATGTGTATATATATATATATATAAGTTATATAAAGATGTTTAGCATATTGTTATGTAAAATACGAATCGTTATGTTTTACATATATGGATCGTTTATTTTGAAAGTGGTATAAGTCCATTTGCAGCTAATTTTTAGTTAAATTACCCTAAAAGTAATGTATATTATCAAATTACATATCGATAAATTAATAGAAACATTGTCAAACGATCCATATATTGTATATATCTATGGTACATACGTTTTTGATATACGTATTATGTAAGTATATGCTTACGTAAAAGGGTTTTCTCAATATATTATATGTTTTAATATATTTTATAAAAATTTAAATAAGAGATAAGCCCAATTTTTTACTTTAGATATATATATGCACAAAAGTGTGAAATATTAATAATTAAAATATAAGCGCGCGACAAAAACATTTGTGTGTTTCACTTTGATATATTAAATAAATAACACGAATGGAGAGAAAAATATACGGGGTAAAATAATATTTTTAAAAAAATAGATTCTCTACCGTAGTCGACCGCAATAAAGTAACGATCCCGTTTAGCCAGTTATGATTAGAGATAGAAAGAGATAGATAGATAGATAGATAGATAGATAGATAGAATAGACCGCGTAGAAAATGTTTCCCATCTCTAAAACGGGAAAGAGAGAGAGAGAGAGAGAGTTGATCGGGAATCCGCGTGAAATATACGTAAAGCGTGGCTAACCAGCGGAACAACAACCTGTTCGATGACTGTTTCGTTTGATGATTGCAACAAGTGAGGCCCACCACCACCACCACCAACCACCTACCCACCCACCCACGCCCTCTAACCCCGTTCCCGAAACCGTTTTACCACCGACAGCCAACTCCCCGTTTCGAATTCAACAAGTGGCCAAATCATTCTACCCCGTAGTCCCGTGGACCCTCGAAAAACTGGAATTTTCCAGCCGGTGGACAGTCATTGACCATTTAACGCTGGCTACGGAATTTTCCAGCCGGATAAAACGATTCTTCCTCTCACACATACATACATATTTATATATATATGCTTATACGTACATACACACAGAGAAATATATCCCCGCGAATTCGGTTTTTTATATATATATATATATATATATATATATATCTTTTATTTGATTTTATTTTGCATTTTATGGTAGATAAAATTTCTCATTTACGAGGATACGAGATAATATCGTTATGTAAAATAACCTTATAAAATCCAAATCCCTCCCCCACCCTATCTCTCTTTGTTCGTTATCAAAGGAATCGTTTATCTCTAACAATTTAACTTTATTTATGAGATATATTAACATTCTTACACCTTTACTTTCCCTCCACCCCATTTAGATTCCTTTTTGTCAAAGATCGTCGTGCAACAACAACAACAACACCAGAACGTTTATGAAAAGAGTGAATCCTATGGTTCTACTTAATATCTCTTTATTCGTTATCAAAGGAAAGGTTGATGTAAAAGGTGGGAGGTCTACCTTCTTTCTTTGGTTGGTTGGTTGGTTCGTTGGTTGAGGTAGAATCACGAATAGAAGGAGGAAGAAGAAGAAGAAGAAGAAGGGAGATTCTTTACAAAGCCGATCGACGTCTGGCTGTGTTCAAGGGTCAGGTACAACGTAATCATTACTGTCATCGGAAAGCTCCAATCCTTTTCCCTCGTAATTTCAGTCGGCAAAAGTACCGACTCGGTATAGGAACGAACCTCTGAAGAGCCTCTGGTGGACTCTGACTTAGACCTCGGTGTGGTAGATGGGTATACCTGGTGGGAATGGTGGAATGGGTCTCATTAAGGACGCCTTCATAGCCCTTCATCGTTGCTTCTTCAATCTTTCTTCTTCTTCTTCTTCTTCTTCTACTACTACTACTACTACTACTACTAATAATACTACTAGTACTAGTACTAGTATTATTTCTTTTTATTTTGCTTCTTCATCTTCTTCTATCATGCTATCCCTATTCCAACTATCCTGACTATCCCTATTCCTCCTATTCCCTCTTCTCTTTCCCCTCCAACCCATTTCCCCCTCTATCTTACTTTAGACGTGAAACAGTTCGTCTTTTATACCTGGCTACACCACCTACCAACCTTAAAACCAACCTTACCAGATAAGAGTTCTTTCCCTATCTCTGATGGCACCTATCCTCTTTCTCTAAAGTTTCTTTTTGTTTGTTTGTGTGTGTGTATGTGTGTGCACCTTACTCGACCCAAAGGTAATCGACTGTGGTCGTTCGAAGTCCGAACTTAATTTCGTCACGAAAGATCAGGAAATCTTTTTACGATTTGTTCTTCTTCTTCTTCTTGTTTTCTTTTTTTTCGGTGTCTTTTTTTTTTTTTCTAAAGAAGTTCTTTTATTTATATGAGTTCAAGACGATTTTTTTGCTTAGAATATCTTATTCTTTATAAAAAGATAAAGATTCTTTCGATAGATCTTATTTTTTAGAATTATATTGATTTTTAAATTGTGAACAAAATCGGAGAATTAAAATGTAACGAAAACAAATGTTCTTTGTTGTTTTCCATTCGGATAAACAGTAACAATCTATCCGTCATCGAAGCAACACGTGCTTATCAATTTTATTCGACAAATTATAGTAAGTTACTCTTTTAATCAAATATAAAATTAATAATTATTATAAATATATATATATATTTATATATATCAAATCAAACTTGGAGGTGAAAAAGAAAAAGTACAAAACTTTATTCAACATTGATAATGTAAAATGCAAAAATCGTGAAATCGATTATTTTTCCTTAAAAGAAAAAGGTTGGACGATAATAATTAATCGATTTATTCTATGATACTTGAAGAATCTTCAATTTAACGGGGAGAAGAAAACTTGGATAAAGAAAGAGATAGAAGTACACAGGGATGAAAAAGAGAGAGAGAGAGAGAGATAGCGATAAAAAGCTATTGTCGCTTGACGTTACCACCAATTTGTGTGTTTTTACATTGGAAGGGTGGGAAGGGTGGGAAGGGTGAGTGAGTGGTAGGACTCGAGGGATATCTTTTCTCGAGTATACCTCTTGCGAGGATGAGGTAAACGAGAAAGAAAGAAAGAAAGAAAGAGGTGGCAAAGGGGTGAGAAGGAAGAACGGTGGGGTGAAGTTGAAGGGGGGGGGTTGATATTATATCTGTCGGTGTCGTAAACGAGCCAAAAAAAAAAATAATAAAAAATAAGAGAGGGCTGAGTTAAGAGAAAAAGAAGAAGAAGAAGAAGAAAAATAAAAAAAAAAAGCTTTATTCCGGTAGATTCGTATAAATTTGATCGTTTCTTCTTTTATATCTTCTTCTTTCCACCCTTTTTCTTTTTCTTCCTCTCTCTCTCTCTCTCTCTCTCTCTCTCTCTCTCTCTCTCTCACTTTATCTATCAATATCTATATATATATTTCGCTCTTCAACGTAATCGTATTGTCTTGTATGATAATCGAATTCTCACCTTTCAATTTTCTTCCTACAATTTTTTTTGGTTGTTCTTTGCTTTTTATTCCAGGGCGGCGGAGGAAGCGGCGGGGCTGCGGGAGGGCTGAAATTCACTGTGGCCGACACTTGTGAAAGGATCAAAGAGGAATTCAATTTCATCCAGCAACAGTACCATTCGTGAGTGTTCTCTCTCTCTCTCTCTCTTTTTTTTTTCTTCTTTTCTTTTCTCTTTTTATTTTTCTCTTTCTCTTTCTCTTTATTCTCTTCCCTTTTTTTTTTTTTTCCTTTCTTCCTCTATTTTCCTGGTTCTTTCTCGTTGTTGTCGGACGATTCTCCTCCCCCTCCTCATCCCTTCTCTCTTCAAACTACCACCCCAACCAACCAACCCACCCACTCACTCACTCACCCCCTTATCCATACCAACTCCGATGTTTCTCGAAGTTTTTACGTTTATCGACGCTCGATGTTTCTTTTCTCTTACGCTTTTCTACCTTTCTACTCTCCTTCCTCCTCCTCCTCCTCCTCCCACCTACCTACCTACCCCTTGTACTTCTCTTTTTTCTCCTCTTTCGAAAATCAAACCTTACGAGAATTGAATACCATCGGTGGCACGCATTCGATCTCCACGTATCTTTTTAACCTTTTTCTCTTTTTATCTTTGTCTTTCTATATTAATTGTTTTTAACCTTTTCTTTTTTTTTTTTTTCTTTTTCCTAACACATTTCTTTCTCTCTCACATCGTCGAATACAATTTATTTGTATTTCGTTTGAGATACATCACATTTTTGTTATGGTTAAACATGATCTAAATATTAATTAGTTCGTATAATTATAATGATTGCAACAAGATATTCAATACGATATCAATTCTATAATATAATTCTAATTATTACGATAAAATATATACGAAGTATTATAATAATAATAATAATAATAATCTTATTTTGCATATTAAAAAATAATTTAAAAAGAAATACAATCGAACGCGATATTACGATGACGTTTGCACACATTATATAATCATTATATTATATTATTATTAATTATTTTTTATCTATGTTTATCATACCATACTATATTTTAAAATGTGTTACGGTGATATTACGTAACTCGTGAGTTTTCCTTTCGTTTACAAAAAAAAATAAAAAGAATCACAAAAATAAAGTTAAGTATAATTTCAGAGAGAGAGAGAGGGAGAAAAAACTTTACCCCGTCGATTCTTTCTTTTCAACGAGTAAGAGAAAGAGAAAGAGAGTGAGAGAGAGAAAGAAATAGAAATAGAAATAAAAGGTAATAGAAAAACATAAGAAAAAGAAAGTATAAAAAAAAAAAAAAAAGAAAAGGATAGAAATAGTCGAGCATCAAGGTGGTATAGCCACCGTAATCTCGTTTACTCGCCATCCCCTTTCCCTTCTTCTACCACTCCTTACACTCTCACAGATCCTTTCTCTCTCCACCTTCCTCCCACCCTTCATTTCATCCTCCTCCTCCTCCTCTTTCGAGAAACTCGATCTCGTAGTTTAGAAGATACGTGAGTCGCGACCATGCTCGCGAATCTCGAAAGGTGCTAAAGGTTTTGTGGGTGGGGGGAAGAACGGGGAGAAGGGCTATGGTGGTTTCTCGAAGGGATTGAATTTGTAGAAATGGGGGGTTTGGTAGAATGGTATTCAATGCTTTTTGTTCTCTCTCTTTCCTTTTCTTTTTTACACTTTAATCTAAGTGTGTGTGTGTGTATGTGTATATGTTACCGTCAAAGCTGGAAATCAGTCATTGCTAGTAATTCCTCGTCATTACTCTCTGATCTCAGATGATTTTTTTAATTTTCAGGTTAAAACTCGAATGCGAAAAGCTGGCCAGCGAGAAGACCGAAATGCAGAGGCATTATGTCATGGTAAGACACTTTGTAAGTTTCTTTGCAAATTAATTTTTTTAATCCCTTTTTATTTTATTTTTTATCCTCTCGTACTCCCCCCCTCCCCACTCCACACACACACACCCTCCATAAGATAATAATATTATTAATAATCAATATTCTTGTCCCAACAGTATATTAATATATATGAGTTTCAAAGGGAAAATTGAAGACAGTTAATAAATTTTGATGAACAARTTTATTKGATCTTGTTDAACGTTTCRTCCCTTACTGGGGACTTCCTCAGCAACTACAAATTGTTGCAAATGCTACATTGAACAAACAAAACAAAAATTAAAGAAAAGACTAGAACAACATAAAAATGAT